CCTACTTTCAACGACCGATGGGTACCGCTACTCCCTGGACCTCTCCTGGGGTGCGTTCTGACCAGGACTTCGAAGCGAGTCCAGCGGTGGCGACGAGGGCCTCCCCCAGGAATCCCCAACAAAGGGAAAACCGACGAACAATGTATCCGTACGGGTACCTGTAGGTCGGGCGAGTCCCCCTACAGGCGGACTTTGGTCGGGCGTGTCCCCCTAAAGGTGGATTTTGGAAGAAATTTTAAAATTACTCCAGCAATGCGCCAGAATAGTAAAGAAACATAGTGGCGAAATCGTCCCAGACCATTTGTTGACTATTTCTGAACATTCCTCCAGCAGAGAGGCAGGCCCGACTTTCAGGGTTCCTTTTCCTCCCCACAGTGCGCGGTCATGTAGGTCATGTCGCGATTTCTGTGCGTGCACCGGGCTGGCCTCCATGGAGCGTAGGTCTGCAACACTTTCGCTGTTCCTGCCACTATGTTTTCATGGAATCCGTGAGCCAATCGTGCTCCTGTCGATTCCTTGCCGATGCGCCGTTGCCTGGCGCCTGGCTTGACTGACGGACTGAGTGCGCGGGCGGGTGCCTCGCCTCGGGGTCCGTCAGGATCTCCCGGAGGAGCATGCCGTCCTGGCGGCGCCGGCGGCAGCGAGCCAGGAAGCTCGAGCCGGCCAGCCTCGGCGGCGCGCAGGAGGGGAGCAGGGGGGGAGGGGGGAGGGCTTCTCGGAAGGGGGGGCTGCCTCTTGGAAGGCGCCGGCCCTGCATGTAATTGCAGAGGAGGCCCGCGCCTTCTCAGGACCAGGGGCGCTTCTAGGGAGCCTTCACTTAGGTCGGGCGTGTCCCCCTTCAGGCGGATTTGGGACGAAACATGAGAAATGGTCAAGAACTACTCCCAAATGCCAAACAAAATCGTTCCCAGACTATTTTTGATTATTCTTGAATCTTACTCCTGTAGAGGGACACGCCCGACTGAAAACCAGGGGTGCTTCTAAGAAGCCTTCCCCCCTCCCCCCGTCCCCCTCTGCGCGTGGCCGACAGCCCGAGACCGGATCACGAGACGGCACGATCCGCAGGACACTCGCGGCTTTGCAGTGCGCAGGACCTGCTGTGCAGGACGCAGTGCGCTCCCCCGGAGGCCCGAGGTCCCTGGGAGAGGGAGGCTGGGACCACAGCGCCCAGCTGGTGCTCCTTACGACGAGGTCAGGGGTCAGGACGAGGACAAATTCGGGTAAGAATAAATCGAGCATCTCCTCCTCCTCCTCCTCCTCCTCCTCCTCATGCTCCTCCTCCTCCTCCCAGCAGGACTAGGACTAAATCGGGCGAGGATCAATCGAGCATCTCTGAGATCCGGCGGCTCTGAAGACGTCTCGGGCGCCGCGGCCTTCTCGTAGCGTTCCGGAACCATGAGAGCGTTCCGGAACGCTCTGGAACGAATTGATCCTCGTCCTAGCCCCGTCCAACGCACGGAGGACGAGGACCAGCGCCGGATGGAAGCGCCACTGTATCGAGGGATCTCCTGACCCGGGTCCATCCAAACCTGGGTCATTCGCCCTTCTTAAGGGGGCTCCAGGAGGGAGGTTTCGGGTTCGAGGTTCGAAGCTTTCCGACGGGTTCGTCGGTTATCGGCGGCTTTCCAGCCTAGGGATGCCTTCCAGCAGCTGCGCCTGGCCCAAAGCGTCCCAGGCCTCGCAGGATCTTGCAGCATATGGCCGGATCCTGCACCCAAGCCTGGGCCAGTGCACCCGTGGCCCCGCAGGATCCTGCAAGATCTGGCGCTCCGACCGACACCCGTTGTTGGCATCGACCCCCGTCCCTGGAGCCCCGAACAATGTTATCGAAGATCGGGCGGTGGCAGAACTGGGTTTAGTGGGACCTGGTATAGTGATGTGTACTGGGGGGCGACCCCCCCCGCCCCGTTCCACTAACCGGAACTGCCGTCCACCGGAGAAACACACGCTACGGCGGACCTGGTTTAGTGATTCTGGCCGATTTAGGGGATCCGGGGCCCTACTACTAGCTGGGTCCCCTTACCTGGGGTCCTGGCCATACCCGAAACGAAGTCCCAATCTGTCCAGCGTGCGGCCAGCACCTGGCTTTGACGGCGCAGCAAGCGACGCTGCTCACAGCATCACAATCGCGAGGTATGCATCATGGTTTAGCCCGACCACGACCGCGATAGTGCGGCAACAGGACTAGTGAGTGCTGCAAGCATTGAGCCCCATGTCCGTCTGGTACTTGATCAACGTCTCTGGACCAGTGTGATCCTCGAACCGGATGGCGTAGCCGACCTGTGGCACGCGCGACATTCAAACGAGAATAGCGAAAGCGCACGGCATGAGAACACCCAGAAAATGCGAGGCTGTGAAAGGCATGTGCTAGACGACAGTCTGGCAAAGTCTGAGCCAACAACACTTCGAGGACTGTTACAATGCCTGTCGGCTGCCTGGAGAAGCTTCGGTAGTTTTTTACGGCGACCTGGGTCGTCACCTCTGCGAACAAAAACACCTCTCTGCGACGTCGTGCCGCTCACTGCTCGGCGCTATTCGCTGTCTCAAGACGACTGCAACGTGCTCCACGATTGCAACGTGCTCCATCTTTCGAGCCGATCCGTCGAGCCGCGTCAGGCCGCCGCGACGATCACCTCCAGAGGCGCCCTGAATCTCTCAGGAACGCCAGAAGAGACCCTGGAAACACAAGAAAATCTGGATCCTCGTACCGGCCGCGAGCCGGGGGGGAAGCGAGAAGGCTCGGAAGTCCCCTGGCCTTCCGAGAATTTCTCTAAGCCTTCCCCGAAGTCGCAGAAAACCTCCCAGAAGGCGCGAGGGCTCCTGAGAAGTCCCGCCGCCTTCTGAGAGGGCGTTCTCCTTCCTACTTCCCCCCTCGCTCGCCGCCGATCGCAATCTCCGCCCCGTCCCCAGGCCTCCCGAGGCCTCCGAAAACCCCCCCCCGGAGGCTTCCGGAGGCCCAGGCGATGCGGAAGACAGCCAGACAGCCTGCAGGGCCCGCGCCCTCTCGCAACCCAGTGAGAGGAGGGTGGCCCGAGGGAAGCGGGGGCTCGCTCGGAGTCCCGACACGGTGCGGTGGCGGACCGTGCGGTGACCTCGAAATCCCCCAGGGCCTCACCGCACGGTCCGTCACCGCACGGTCTTTGGGACCCCGGAGGCCCCTGCCGCCCGAGACGTCCTCGGAGAACGACCCGAGCCCCAAAACCGTGCGGTGACACCGAATCCCCACCGACTCGCAGCAGGGTGTGGTCACCACCCCGTCTGGGGGCCCCCGAGCTCGGCCCCCCGGAGGCTGTTCCGGGGACCAGCTGTCCCTCCCGAGCCGATCCAGAAGAGCCACAACCTGCACAGGCACAACCTCTCGGAGCTCCGCGCGGCTTTGTGGGATCGGCGCTGCACCATCCTCGTGTTTGTCTTTTCTTTTCACGTCGCAGTCGATCGTTCGCCCAGGGGCAGGGGGAATTTGGGGCCCCGGGTCATGGCAACGCTTGGGCAGGGGGCACGTCGGGGCAGGGGTGCGCTGCGACTGCCCCACGATGCGCCCGTTCATGGGGGGCCCAGGCCCCCTCCGAAATGTACGGTCGCTACCGTCCAGGGGGGCTTGGCCCGGGCAGCGACCTTTACGTGCCTGAGGAGAAACAAAACACCTCATCTCCTGAGCATTTCCTTTGGGTGGAGGGTCCAGGGTGAAATCCACATGGGCTTCTTTGCACCTCGAGAACCAGTCCGTCTTGTGACTCACCTCTTGCAGACACTTCAGAATCAACCCTTTTGAAGGGGCCCTGGGACACACAAAGAAATACACACAAATAACAGGATTCCCCATATTTCCCCATAGCTTCTGGGTTTCTGTCTTCCCCCCCCATTTCCCCTATCTTCCCATCTTTTCTGGGGGATCGACGATTCATTGTGTCTGTGTGTTTTTCCCTCCTGACCTTTGCCCTCCACCCACAGGAACTGCTCGGGTCTCGGGCGGCGCCTCCAGCGCCGCCGATTTCCGGGGAGACCAAAAAGGTACCGAGACCGCTGCTCCCCAGACCTCTCTCCTGGGGTGCGTCCTGACCAGGATTTCGGGGCGAATCCAGCGGCTGGGCATCGCTCAGTTGTTCGGTTTCGTGCGTGGCTTGTTCGCCAAATGATCAAGGATGCTCCTCGATGGTCCTCGCCGAAGGAAAAATGCACCCGTCCGAGCGATGCCACGCCAGACCTCTCCTGGGGCGCGTCCCGACCAGGATCTCGAGGCGCATACAGCGGTGGCGACGAAGGCGGCCCCGGAGGCCGCAAAGAGGGCAGCGAGGAAAGGGAAGGGGGGTATGGGCACCTTCTCCTCCTCTGAGATCCAACAGCGGAGGGGGAGCTGCCGGGACGGCCGGCGAGCGCGAGAACAGCGCCCGGGCTCAGCTGCCCGCGGCCCCCCCCACGGCTCGTGCGCGGTACGGCTGGCCCCCGACGCAAGCCCTCGGCACCCCCAACTGCACGGTTTCCCCCGGGGCCGTAGGCGACCCGAGGAGGAGAAGGAGGAGGAGGAGAAGGAGGAGGAGGAGGAGGGGGTGGAGGAGGAGGAGGAGGAGGAGGAGGAGGAGGAGGAGGAGGAGGAGGAGGGGAGGAGGAGAGGAGGAGGAGGAGGAGGAGGAGAGGGTGGAGGAGGAGGAGGAGGAGGAGGAGGAGGAGGAGGAGGTGGAGGAGGTGGGGAGGAGGAGAAGAGGAGGGGGAGGAGGAGGAGGAGGAGGAGAAGGAGGAGGAGGAGGAGAGGAGGAGGAGGAGGAGGAGGAGGAGGAGGGGTCATGAGTGATCGCAAGGAGAGGAGGAGGAGGAGGAGGAGGAGGAGGAGGAGGAGGAGGGATGGGAGGAGGAGGAGGAGGAGGAGGAGGAGGAGGAGGAGGAGGAGGTGGTGGAGGAGGAGGAGGGAGGAGGAGGACACGGAGGAGGAGGAGCAGGAGGAGGAGGTTTTTTTTCTCCACCTCAACTAGTTCTGGATGATGGCCAGGGGAACGGGGGCCCGCTTACTGGGGCATGGGCTCGGCGGCCTGGCTGGCCTCATAAACCTGCGCCGCGAAGGGCCAATGGGCGACTATACGGTCCTCGTTGCCGCACCTCGGGTGCTTCAGCTGCATAAAGCGGCGCAGCTTATGCTGCGCCGCTTCATTCCGCTTCCAGCCCGCGACCCCGAAACTAGGACAAACATTCCCGAGCCCCAAAGGTTTCGAGGTCGCATACTGGCAGCACCTCTTGCAGAACAGTAGTGTGTCTCCGACCTCAGCCTCAGGGCGCGGGGTCAGTTCACACCATTCGATATCATGTGTGTGAGCGTATTGGGCCACGCACTGGAAACTCGTGGGAGGATCCTCAGGCCGGCAGTCTTTCCGATCGAGCGCACTGTTCGGGGCCACCGGAGGAGGAGGGGGGAGGAGGAGGGGGAGGGGGAGGGGAGGGAGGGGGAGGAGGATGGGAGGAGGAGGAGGAGGAGGAGGAGGAGGAGGAGGAGGAGGAGGATAAGGAGGAGGAGGAGGAGGAGGAGGAGGAGGAGGAGGGAGGAGGAGGAGGAGGAGGAGGAGGAGGAGGAGGAGGAGGAGGAGGAGGAGGAGGAGGAGGAGAAGGAGGAGGGAGGAGGAGGACGGGTAGCCTGAGCCCTTCGCAGAAACCATCCACCCCAAACTCGGGGGAAGAGGAGAGACGAGGACGGAGGGGCGAGGCCGATCCGCCGACTTCAGAGCCCAGCGCCGGTCCAAGAACTCCGAGCGAACCTCCGAACAATGTTTATGCTTATGCTGCTCCCGTCGCACTCAAGGGCCACATCCCAGAAATTAACTCCGAGCATCCAGAAAAGCATCGTAACAGTGTCGAACGAGTATCGCCTTCGAGGGCCCTACTCGTGAAAACCTTCAAATTCTGGTACTTTCCTGGTGCTCGAAATGCGTTCCACAGCGCCCAGCTGGTGCTCCATAGGACGAGGCCAGGACGAGGACACATTCGGGTGAGGACAAACCGAACACCTCCTACCCCTCCTCCTCCTCCTCCTCCTCCTCCTCCTCCTCCTCCTCCTCCTCCTCCTCCTCCTCCTCCTCTCCTCCTCTCACGAAGACGAAACCAAGACTGAGACAAAATCGGGCATGGATCAATCGAGCATCTCCGAGATCCAGCGGCTATGGAAGATGCCTCGGGCGCCGCGGCCTTCTCATAGCGTTCTGGAACCATGAGAGCGTTCCGGAACGCTCTGGAACGAATTGATCCTCGTCCTGGCCCCGTCCAACGCACGGAGGGCGAGGACCGGCGCCGGATGGAAGCGCCACTATATCGAAGGATCTCCTGATCCAGGCCCATCCAAACCTGGGTCATTCGCCCTTCTTATGGGGGCTCCAGGAGGGACGTTTCGGGTTCGAGGTTCGAAGCTGTCCGACGGGTTCGTCGGTTATCGGCGGTGTTCCAGCCTCGGAATGCCTCCCAGCAGCTGCGCCTGGCCCAAAGCGTCCCAGACCTCGAAGGATCTTGCAGCATCTGGCCGGATCCTGCACCCAAACCAGGGCCAGTACACCCCTGGCCACGCAGGATCCTGCAAGATCTGGCGCCCCGACCGACCCCCGTTTTTGGCATCGACCCCCGTCCCTGGAGCCCCGGCCAGTGTTGTCGAGGATCGGGCGTTGGCAGAACTGGGTTCAGTGGGACTTGGTTCAGTGATGTGTACTGGGTGACGCCCCCCCCACCCCGTTCCACTGACCGGAACTGCCGTCAACCGAACAAAAACACACGCTACGGCCGACCTGGTTTAGTGATCCAGGGCCCTACTACTAAGGGGGTCGCCTTGCCTGGGGCCCTGGCTGCACCCGAGAGGCGAAGGAGGAGGGAGGAGGAAGCGTACAACGACGACGACGACGGCGACGACCACGACGACGTCCACGACGGCGTCCACCCTCTCGGGTTGGGGCCTCCTGCCCGAGGCGGCAGCCGAACTCCTCCGCCACGCGCTTCGCCACGGACATGGCCGCCACGCGGCGGGGCTGCGGCGCGGCCGGAGTGTATGTTTTCCGGTGCTTCCCCGCCCCGCATGTTCTGCTCTCGTTGGAAAACCTCTCCCAGACAGGGTCGCGTAGTACAGGCGGGGCGTTGACCTAAGGAATCCTAAACACGGAACGAGGCCCCTTTTCCCACAAGTTCAACTTCGATTTACCTCCGAAAGCCTACAAAAAAGCCTAAGGCAATCTGTGAAACAAGGGTACTCCCCCGCCCCGCATGTTCTGTTCTCGTTGGAAAACCTCTCCCAGACAGGGTCGCGCAGTACACAAGATCGGGGCGGCACATGATGCATGATTTTCGGCCCCTGGGGGCCCTCCAGGCAGGCGCACCGCCAAGCATCGGTCCAAAAGCGATCCGGATACTTTTGCCAACGCGTCTTACAGATGCACGGCTTCTGACCTGACATGGGGGCCCTCGCCGGGCCCCGGGGCTGTCAAAAGGCGATTGAGGACGAACAAAAACGTTCTTCCCCGGGGCCACGTTTTGAACTGAACAAAAACAGGACGTCGCATGGCTGGGTTCAGGTGTTGCTAGGAGTGCGCCTGGCCCAAGGTGCCCCCAGGGTTGCCACGGAGGCCCCCACACTGCCCCCAGAGCACTCCTCACGAGGCTCAGGGGGCCCCAGGGGCTCCAGGATTGAGCGAAACGCTGGGGGCACCTTGGGCCAGGGGCACCTTGAGCAACCCCCGAAGCTGCAGCTGAGGGGCTGCAGCGTGCGGGTCTGCAGGAGGAGATCGGCCGACTCTCGGCGGAGCGAGCAAGACAGATCAGGCCGCGGAGACTGGTGCACACATAGCAAGAAACGCAGCGAGAGAAGGAGAGCCTCTTGTTTCACTACTCGCGAGGACGGGGCGTGATCGGGGGAGGGGGGGGAGCTCGTCCCCCCCTGTCACATCACGGCGGGGGGCCGCCGGAAATCTTGGGAGCTCCTCGAATCCGTGAGAAGTCTCTGCGCACGTGGGCAAACTGGCGTGACGGTCGACGTGATTTGGGGGGAGGGAGATGGCCGATCACGGCCGTTACCGTCCAGACCTAAGACACAGAATCTGGCTATACGAGAAGACGTGGTGGCCCCCGTGGGCGGGGTAGCCGAGCCTCTCTTCCGCCCCGTCCTCCCCCCCATCCTCGAGCGCATCCAGAGGGGCAGGCGAGCCAAGCATCGGATCGATTGAGTCGGAGATCGGCGGAGAAGTCGGCAGCCAGGGCGGGAGGAGCCACGCAAGCAAGCAGGGGTCCGATCGGACGCCCGAAAGCGTCATGCCCCACCAGTGGGGACGGCGAAATTATGAGACAGGCCTGCCATGACGAGCAGCGCTGGCGGCGAACGCGAAATACTTGACGCAGCATTGACAGGTGTACTTGGGAGGAGGGGACTCTGCAGAAATCGGCAGGCTAGTAGGCCTCAGTTAAGAAATCGGGATCAACGTCGGAATCCGAAGTAGAACGCAGTCGGGACGGGAAGCCGACTCGAGATCGAAGCGAATCGAATCGGATGAACCGAAAAAGAGCCCTGCAGGGGTCGGCGGCATGCAGACCCATCAGGACGGAGACAGGACGAGGAACAAATCGTGTGTGGACAAATCTGGACGCGAATTAATGTTAAGTCGGGCCTGTCCCCCTGCAGGCCGATGTTGGACGAAAACTGTTTGTAGGTTATCTATATGTATATATATACATATATATATAAGGACAACGCCATAAACATGCTCAACAATGATTAGAAAATAATCCCCAGACTATTTCTTCACTATTCTTGAATCTTCCCCCTGTAGAGGGACAGGCCCGGCTTAAAAAATCAAGGGGGGGCGGTCGTATGGAGGGGGAGAAAAAGAAGGTAGCCTCCTCGGGCCCCGAAGGCCCCCTTCTGGGCCCCTAAGGGTTCAGTCGGGCGTGTCCCCCTGCAGGGGGATTTTGGACGAAAAAATGGAAATACTCAAACAAAAGTACACAACAGATGCCCAAACATACCCGAACACTTGTCCCCAGGCTATTTTTTTACTATTTTTGAACATTCCCCCTGTAGAGGGACAGGCCCGACTTAGCCCAAGGGCCCTCTTTGGACACCGACGGCCCTCCTTGGGGCCTTCACTCTTTGGGAGTCTTGAAGGGCTCCTTTTCGGCAGCCCTCGCTGCCCCCTGCCATTCATCGCCCCCCCCCCGCCGAAGAAATCGATGATCTCTGAGATCCAGCAGCCCTGGAGGATGTCTCGGGGGCTGCTGCCTTCGCAGAGCAATCTGGAACGCTCTCTCTCAGAGCGTTCTGAAGCACTCTGAGAGCGGATTTATCCTCGTCCTGGTCCCGTACGACTCCTCTTCGACCGCACCTATGGGTCGGTCAGGCAGACTCGTGCGCCGAGAAAAAAGAAAAACACGAAGGGAGGTTATTATGACCAGTCTCGGCGCCCGAGACGTCACATCCTCCAGAGCCGCCAGATCTCAGAGATTCTCGATTTGCCCTCACCCGGTGTCATCCTCGTCCTGGCTTCACCTTATCCTAGGCTTAAGTCGGGCCTGTCCCCCTACAGGGGGATTTCCTACGAAAAATGCAAAAAGGTACCCCCAAAATAATCCAAAAATAGTTTGGGAACCATGTTTTGAATAGTTGTTGACCTGTTGGGGGCATGTTTGGGGCATGTTTTTATTTTTCGTCGAAAATCCCCCCTGTAGGGGGACCCGCCCGACACAATCCCTAGGCAGACGCACTGCTGCCCGCGCCGAGCAGCAAACACACGACCAGCAGTTTGCTTTACTGGCTGGGCCTCGGCCCCTCCGGAGAGAGAGAGGCCCTCGCAGGCGCGCCGGGGGCTGGTCAAGCTGAACGACGCTCGGGGTGCGAAGAGGAGGATCGAACAGGCGGAGGAGGAGGAGCAGGAGGAAGAATATCGAGGAGGAGGAAGAATACCGAGGAGGAGGAAGAGAAGGAAGAGGAGGAGGAGGAGGAATATCGAGAACATCGAGGAGGAGGAGGAGGAGCAGGAGGAATGATATTGAGGAGGAGGAGGATCGGGGGTGGACAGACCTCCCTTTAGTAAAACGTGGTTTAGTGAAAACGACCTGAGGCTCAAACCTGGCGGGCGTAAGCCTGGAAAATAACGGCCGCGGCGCCCTCTCGAGAACCGAAAACGGACAATTCACAAATCGAAGTGTCACTGTTGGGGTATCTGTCCACCCCCGAGAGGAGGAGGAGGTGAGAAGAGCTGGCCGCGGGATTCTGGTTGACGCAGATGTGGGTCCAGCTTGAAAGGGTGTGTTGCGATGGATTTGGCGCAATATAGGGTTAGGTCGGGCATGTCCCGGATTTTGGGCGACCATCAAGAAATACGCCAAACATAATCAGAAATCATCCGAGCATGATCGACAGATCGTCCCCAGACTATTCGGTAGAGGGGGACGCCCGACTTAAATGTGGGGCGACGGGAACCATACACGTCGGTCGGAAGAAGTAGGTAAACATATGAAATAGAAGGCGGATGAACTAGGTTGGGTTCAATCCCTCCCAGAGAATAACAAAACGAAGCAGGAGCTTATCGATTCTTGAAGTAGGAAGCCAGAAGTAGATTGGGATCCGGAAGCCCAGAGATACCTACTTTCAACGACCAGCATGTACAGATCCACTGCTCCCCTGCCAGGCCCAGGCCGAACCCAGCAGCTGTGCACACGCCCTCCGGGCCACGCCAGGAGGGCGTGACGCACACACCGCCGCCGGGTTCGGGATGGGCGTGGCCAGGCTGCAGCGTACATGTATACATCTCGTCGCCCTACCAAAGATTAGGTCGGGCATGTCCCCCTACAGGCGGATATTGAACGACAGATTTTTGCACGGAAAACACAACTAGTCCAAAAAGAAGCCAACAACAAAAATCGAAAGATCGTCCCGAGACTATTCAAGGGGCCCTGGGACACACAAATAATACACACAAATAAAAATTATTCCAGTGCGACCCTACATAGGAGTTGGAGCCCCTAGGAAAGCAGCATTAGTACGAACAGTAAAGCTAAAGTTAAGCTAAAGCTAAGTTAAAACTAAACTAAAGCTAAGCTAAAGCTAAGCTAAAGCTAAGCTAAGCTAAGCTCAAGGTAAGCTAAAGCTAAGATGAAGCTAAGCTAAAACTAAGCTAAAACTAAAACTAAGCTAAGGCTAAGCTAAGGCTAAGCTACCGCTAAGCTAAACCTGAGCTAAAGCTAAGGTGCAGATAAGCTAAAACTAAACTAAAGCTAAGCTAAAGCTACGGTAAAGGCTAAGCTAAAGCTAAGCTAAAGCTGCGGTAAGGGCTAAGCTAAAGCTAAGCTGCAACTAAGCTAAAGCTAAGCTAAAGCTAAGCTAAAGCTAAGGTGCAGCTAAGCTAAAGCCAAGCTAAGGCTAAGCTAAAGCTAAGCTAAAGCTAAGGTACAGCTATGGTACAGCTAAGGTACAGCTAAGCTAAAGCTAAGCTAAAGCTAAGCTGGAGCTAAGCTACAGCTAAGCTAAAGCTAAAGCTAAAGCTAAGCTAAAGCTAAGCTAAAGCTGAGCTGAAGCTCAGCTGAAGCTAAGCTACAGCTAAGCTAAAGCTAAGCTAAAGCTAAAGCTAAAGCTCTCAAGGGACTGGGGGAACCGCGGGGCGGGGACTGGGGGAACCGCCCGGGGCGATTTACACTGCCCGGCCCTTTAAGCTAAGAGAGTAAGAACCCTTCTAGGCAGAGCCTATGTAGGGAACAATCCCCATATTTTCCCATATTTTCTGGGTTTCTGTCTTCCCCCCACTTCCCATATTTTCCCATATTTTCTGGGGAATCGACGATTAATTGTGTCTGTGTGTTTTTTCCCCTCCTGAACTATAGAGGGACAGGCCCGACTTGATACAAAGACTCGGAGCGTGCAAGTCATTACAGTAGTTGCAGTACAATGCAGCACGAGCCTGTGGCGCAAGACGACTGCGACGCGAATGCCCCAGATCTGCTGCGCCACCCCCTCTTGGCTTGACCCCCTTATGCGCCAACCATCCAG